AATAAATACCCTTATATTTCTACCTGACTCCGTATTGGTAATTACCTACTATAAACACCACCTTTGATAAACATTCTACTGGGCACCTCATTGAGAACATAACAGATCCTTAGTGTTACCTTTTTTTAACTTTTCCAAATCTTCTGGGCATTCTATAAACTTCTCTTCAAACTGAAAACAGAAAATGTAAATGTATTCTTGTTAGCTCATTCTGTATCACTGTAGACTTTTGAACTTGAGTTGTCTCTGTCTGGCAGTACATATGAAGAAATTAAAACTTGCAGCAGATAGGAAGGAGTCTGTCTGATCATGGCCACTTGTGAATTTAGATTAGATCCATCAACAAAAGGGTGTTGATCACAACAAAGCTGCTCATTCTTGTAATGTTCCTCCTCGCTGACCCCGCTATGTCCATGCTTAAGTTCTAAGAAGGGAGTGGAGTCACTGGAGGCCCAGCACTGGGAAATTGACTATTGAGGTTTTGGCTCTCAGGAAAACCTGTTAACTCCAGTGAGAACAGAATAGAGAACCTTCTGTGTCTCCATCATGCCACATGGTGTGGGCCAGTGATCACCTACATTTCTTATTTTCATTATACTTTATTAAGAAGAGGCCTACTTTGGTACTTCTCTTTTTTATTATTTTATTTAAGTAACTTTTTTTCATTTATTTTACATACGGACCTGGGTTCCCCCTCCCTCCTCTCCTCCCGGACGCCTCCTTCTCCCTGCTTCCCATCTATCCCCTCCTTCCTTTCACTCCTCCTCCATTCAGAAAGGGGCAGGCCTCCCACAGGTTTGAACAAAGCCTGGGACCTCAAGTTGAGGCAGGACTGAGCTCCTCCCATTTGGTGTCAAGGCTGGGCAACTAATCCAGCCTGTGGAACAGGTTTCCAAAGCCAGCTAAGTGCCAGGGACAGGTCCTGATCTCACTGCTAGGAGCCTTACAAAGAGACCAAGCTACACAACTGTTATACACAAGCAGAGGACCTAGGTCTGTTCTGTGGAGGCTCCCTAACTGTTGGTTCAGGTACTTCTCAACTGTAAACAATGAGGACATACGGCATCATGGAAACATGTCAGGGATAGTAGTAGACTAACTCTTATGTTGTCCTTTATATAATTGGTGAGTATTAAATAAGCAAAATGTAATCCTCATTAAAGAATGATTTTTTTTATATTCACTTCCTTTTCTTTATTTGTATATGCCTTTGTCTTTGGAGTCACTTTGGCAGTTCTGCCTGGATGGCTCTATATCAGGCAGTATTCAATCATATTCTTGGGGCTGGAGAGGTGGCTCAGTGCTTCCAGAGGTCCTGAGTTCAATTCCCAGCACCCACATGGTGGCTCACAACCATCTATAATGAGATCTAGTGCCCTCCTCTGGCATGCAGGTGTACATTCAGAGCATTGTATACATAATAAATAAATCTTTTTAAAAAATCATATTCTTTTCATCTTTGCCACCCTTGAACTTTGTATATTGTCCTTTTGCATTTGCTGGCTCCATTTCAAGATCCTCCAAACAGCTGTCAATTGTTCCCTGCCAATTTGACATCTTGTATGTACAGACACCAATACTGAGTATGAAGGGACCAGCTCCCCTTTCAGCAGCCATAACAGCCGAACACGTGCTTGCCATAAACTTGCCTTGGTCACTTAGAGGTCAGATGCCTGCCTTGTGACAAGGAACCAATCAGAAGTTAGTCAGTCACTAGAAAGTCAGATGCCTGCCTCATGACAGTTAGCTGGTGGCGCTATGCTTTATGACCCTGGGTGTGCTTTACGGACAAGTGCACAGCAATGACACACAAAGTATAGCAACCACCCTGGGAGGGCCTATGGGCCATAACAACCAGTTGACCAATCAACACAGGGCAAGCCCTCCAAGCCTGGAGGCACACCAATCGTGAGCCTGTGCGTACCCCTAGACACTCCCCTTACACTGCCCTATAAGATCTCTTGGGAGGCCCTAGGAGCCGTCTTTTGCTAGCCATCCGCCATGGTGGGTGGGTGAAAGACCCGAGCTAACATGGGGTTAGCTCGTTAAGTTACAATAAAGCCTCGTGCAATTTGCATCAAGCTCTCAAATCTGCCTGGTGATTGGGGTGACCACAGTCATTGCCTGGGACCCCGGATACTTGCATTTTCAGGGGGGTCTAACAAGTACAACTTAAGGTTCTTGGTTGTATTCCGAATATATCTCCTTTTTCAATAGCAGCCTCTGAAGTGTCCACATAGCTTAAAAATCTTTGCATATTTTAATAGTCTTCTCTCAGCTCTGAGACTTGAAAGGTATATTTCCAATATTTTAAAGTCTGGTTATTAATAAGCATTTTCTAGATCTTTTTAAAAATTATTATTTATTTTATGTGCATGGGTATTTGCCTGTATGTATGTCTGTGTACCACACTCATGACTGGTGCCCTCAGATACCAGAAGACAGTGGATCCTCTGGAACTAGAGTTACAGATAGTTGTTAGTCACTGTGTGGGTGCTGAAAATTTAACTTGGGTCCTCTGGAAGAACAGCCAATGTTTTAAAATTCTCAGGTCATTGTTTCTCCCCCATCTATATCTTTCAATTTTATATTGGGGGTTGGAGAAAACGATTCAAGGGCTAAGAGTACTGACTGCTTTCCAGAGGATCTCGGTTAAATTCCAGTGGTCTGTAACTCCAGTTTCAGGGGATCCAATGCCCTCTTATGTCCTCCTTGGGCACTGCACACATACATGGTACCCTACACATCCATTCAGGCAAAAATCTCATTCACATGAAATAAAAATTTTAAATTCAATTTATATATACATTGTTAGTGAAATCTGTTTGACTGTTACCATCTTTGGGGAACATCACATTCACCCCTTCTTTCCAGTCTCCACATCCTGCAAAAACACACAATCAGTGGGTTTTACACTCTTCACTCCTACATTTGCAAGCATCCTTGCCACACACAGTCCTTTAATTGTCTGATCAAATACAATGTTTCCTGTTTACCCAGCCCCTTGATTTGGCAGCCATGACAGGCTGCAAAAAAAGATCCAGCAAGAGGTAGGCCTCTGACTCAGCAAAATGTGCTGAGCTTCCTGACCTTGCCCTTCCTCCCAGTCACTAGGAGGTCAGATACCCTCCACATGGCAAGGAACCAATCCGAAGTTAGCTGGCAGACTCTGGACATGCTTTACAGCACTTTACAGTAAAAGTGGCATAACAGTGACTTGCAGAGCATAGCAAATGCCATAACAACCAGTTAACCAATCAACACAGGACATGTCTCCAAAGCCCGGAAAAAAACCAATGCTGAGACTGTTGCTAACACCTAGACACTGCCCCCCCTTACCCTACGCATAAATTCCCCTACGCATAAATTCCCCGCCTTGGGGTTTCTTAGGGCCCTTCCCACTCCACCCTCAGTGATGAACAGATAAGGGGCCTGAGTTAATGCAGTTAACTCCTTAAACAACAATAAAAGACTTTTTGCTTTTGCATTGGAATAGGTCTCTTGGTGATTGCGGGGTTCAAAATTGGGCACAACATATCCCATTGAAAGGAAGGTTTAAAATTACTGTGATAAAGAAATAAAAACCCAGATGTATTTGCCAGGCTCAACAACAATCCCTCCTTCTCAAACGCTCATAACTGGGACATCTTTACCATTCTGATCTGAGAAGTAACAGCCTTGAATCATAAATGTCTTAATAATGCAATTGAAAGGATATCCTTTAAAATTGAGAGATTTCCCAGTTGTAAATCAGGTGCCTTTTCCTCTCCACAGTATAGTATGGACATTTCTGCAGCTTGGGGAACAATATCTACAACCATTTCTAAAATCTGATGAATCCATCCTCTTCGATGTTCACTTTCAAAATAGAACAGTAGGTTCTCGGTGTTGAAAGGCTTTATTGAGGGACAGATGAGACATGGCTGCATGAACTGGTGTGAACTGGGAAGTGTTTTTCCCAGTGACTCCTCTAGAGGGCAGCACTAAAGCCTACCGGAATTTCCTGCTCAAAAGCTGGATGGGAAACATTTAATAACCTCAGAATGTTGTTGCCGCAATCACTTGGGCCACCACACACTTACCCGCTTACCTGAAAACTCTTAGACACAGGGGCCACCTGAGGATGGGCCCTCTGTCTTACCACCTACATCCCCTCGACCAGTCCTGGGCCTGGTATTTGACAGTCTCTACGAACTGATTACTGAGTCTTAATCTGTTTGAAAGGCACTTTAGTAAAACCCTGTCAGGCCTCCCATTTGTGGTGCATATTTAAAAACCAACTCTACTGACTATTTAGTATACTTGACTCTTCTAATGTTTTTTTCTATTATCTTCAAGAAGGAAGGTGTGTGTGTGTGTGTGTGTGTGTGTGTGTGTGTGTGTGTGTGTGTGTGTGTTCCTGCAAGCACGCGCGTGCGTGTGTGCCTGCATATGCCCTTGAGTAGTAATCAGAGGCACAGAGGCATGGGAACCCTCTGAGGCTAGAGTAACAGGCAGTTGTGAGCAGCCTAGGTGGGTCCTCTGCAAGAAGAGTATGGCATTTTCACTACTGAGCTATCACTTGAGTCTCTTGTCTCCTTTAAACCTTTTCTATCATGGAACTTTCTGGTTCTGTGCTGTAAAACTACACACAAGATGTGAAGATCCTCCATCCATTCTTCTCCAGCTCCATTAGCCACCAGCTGAGGTGCACCCTGTTCACCTTGGTGCCCATCTTCTCTGCGATGCTGACCTTAATGTCAGACAGACCTAAGGTGTCACATGTCCCCATTACAAACACTTTACTGTGAATCTCCAAATGTAAGTACTCTTTTTAAAGATCAGTGCCATACCTAAAATCACAATATCATAACATGATCTGCAATAGTCAATTAGAACCATTTATTATATATTTTTTAGGAGGGGTGGTTTCTCTGTGGCTTTGGAGGCTGTCCTGGAACTCTTTCTTGTAGACCAGGCTGATCTCAAACTCACAGAAATCCATCTGCCTCTGCCTCCCTAGTGCTGGGATTAAAGACATGCGCCACCAACGCCCGGCATAGAACCATTTATTAATCAATATTTGAGTATCTATTTCTGTGTGTCCTTGTATGTAACTTATTCAACTCAAAAAAGATGAATCACCAAATAAGTAATTATTGGATTTTTTTTCTTATCCTGAAATGTGAATGTGTTCCTTGGTAGATAGCATAGTAAAATCTTCACTGTTAGATGCACTCCACTCTGCCCCGGCCATTGAAGTGGTGAAGCACAGGCTTCCCAGACATGGCAGCCACTGCGGTGTCACCAACTATGAATGAAAAAGCAGAGATCAGTCCCAGGGGAGATGCTTTGGGGTGTGTTTAGTAATGCAACACTAGAGAAGGGTAGTCTGCCTTCTTCGTGGACGGCTTGCAGGGAGCCAGGAAGGTCTTATTGACTCATTTCTCCCCCATCAGTGACCACCAACCTGCAATTGCACCAAACAGGACTCAGCTGGCCTTATGCCTTCACCTTGAGAACATAGACAGAGCAGCCCAGACTCTACAGTGAACGGCCTGGGAGCCTTTGAGCCTTGAAAGCAGAGCCATCATGGGAGGGATGAGACAACGTCCACCCCAGTCCTTCACTCCTGGGCTGCTCAGTTCAGAAGCTTTCAATGGCTTCGTGTCACCCTGTCTGTGACAAACCCTAGTTCTCCGCACACAAGAAGGGCTCATCTCTTGGTTGCAGTTGTTTCCCCTGCTAAAGTGGATGCTGTTCTATGGCCCAAAAGGAGAGACACTGATGCATTAACTTCATATCACAGGAAGTAACTTCCTTTGGAGCGCACCGCATAACGGGCAGTTTGCTCATTTGAACTCCATCCTATCACCACAAGGTTTGCTGGTGATGAGCTGTCCCTGCTACAAGTTTACAGGAGAGATAGATGTGCATGCAGGTAGATGATGAGGAAACCCTGAGCTTTCTTCTTGCACAGTGGCACCACAGGCTGGGTCCTTGCTGCTTAATGTTTTAAAGTCAACATCATGGGTCATGGGTAGTGTCTTTACCTTGGGATATGATAGGAAGTTTCAGAGTCTGTCTTTTCAAAGAGATTCTATTTTTACTTTTTTTATTTTTTAGTTTTTCGAGACAGAGTTTCCTCTGTATTGCTTTGGGGGTTGTCCTGCCACTGGCTCTGTAGACCAGGCTGGCCTCGAACTCACAGAGATCTGCCTGTCTCTGCCATCCAAGAACTGGGATTAAAGGCATGTGCCACTAATGCCTGGCTCTATTTTTATTTTTAAGAGTCAGGGAGAGGTATAGTGCAGTGACTGCAAAGATCAGAAAGGTCTTCAGATTCTCTAGAGCTAGAAATACATTGCTCTGAGCAATCCAGTGTGAATATTGGGAACTGAACTCTTGTCCTTTGAAAGAGCAACGCATGCTCTTAACTATTGAGCCATTCCTACAGCTCCCTAAGGGTGTTTCTTGTGTAGAAAATGTAAGTGCTTGGGAGTAAAACTTTAAATGTAGTTACATTTTGTGCATCTGCACATGACTTCACACTCAGGGCTGAAACAAGATGTAAGAAGTGGGTGTTACTGGGACTAGCTGTCGAAGCCTGAAAGTTCTAGTTGCTCTGTTTCAAGGGTATTCTACACTGTCCATTTGGACCAACTGATTCTTCAGTTCTGTGAAGCTATCCTGGGCAATGTAGTTTATTAACTAAGTAGACTCCAAGAGACTTTTATATCCCTTCTACCCCTAGTCAAGAAAAGTCAACACACCTCTAGATCTTGCCAAATGTCCTTTAGGGGGCGTGTTCCCCTCTGCTGAGACCAATTGCTCTAATTCCTACCTCTAGGAATAACAGTACAGAAAAGATAATCACATACCAGGCCAGTTCAGCAGTAGAGTCAGAGAGGATCTATCAGGGGTGTGATTGTAAAATTTAAAAGATCCCTGAAAAGATAGGATGAGTTCAATCGCTCAGACTTAGAGGGACAGTTTCAGTTATATATTTACAGACAGTTGTGTTTTTATCGTTTACTTATTTATTGGACTGTCTGTGTATGTGGGCACATGCTGGACACTAAGTACACAGAGAGGACATAGAGCAACTTGGAGTCAGTTCTCTCTTGTCATCATGTTCCAGGTTTACCTCAGTCCATCAGCCTTGGCAATCAGCACCCTTGCCTTGAACTATCTCACTGGCCTTTATTCATTTTTTTTTTTTTTTTAGTTTTTTGAGAGGGGGTTTCTCTGTGCCTTTGGGGGCTGTCCTAGAACTAGCTCTTGTAGACCAGGCTGGTCTCCAACTCACAGAGATCCACCTGTCTCTGCCTCCTGAGTGCTGGGACTAAAGGTGTGCGAAACCACCACTGGCCCTTCATTAATTTTTTTTCAAGAGTTGTGATATACAACATCTCTTGGTCACAACAATTAACATTTTTAGGCAAAGAGGATCTAAACTGTTTGAGATGCACAAACAGAGAAGCCAGAAACAAAATTCCTCTGGACCCACAGAATGTCAAGTGTCAGTCTCACTTCAGCTCTGGACTTCCAGGTAGGAAATGGTTAATGTACTCTGTGTAGGCTGCAGCTGCTGTGGTTTTAGCTTCAGAGCACATACCTCTCACTATATTCATATGTCAAAGCCTGTGTGACTAGACTCCTTAGACATAGAACAGTTTATCAGTGCCCTCTCAACTCATGTTCTTTTCCTTTTCCTTTTAATTCCTGATTTATACACGAATGTAGTTATACGTTTAAAGGAGTGTGGTTGAAGCTTCATGGTCACTAAACAGTTTTCAAGGCCAAAGGATGATAATGGCTGGAAGAGAACTCATTTGGGCTTTGATCTTCACGGGCTGAAATCCTAATCAGACCGAAGACTTAGGGACCCATTAACAGAGCAGCAGGCTGTGTACATTATCACCCTGAGAGTTCAACACAAGCACTGTCACCTCAGTCAGGTTAAGCCATGACTATTGGTAAGAAACCTTGCCATCGGTTCTGCCCAGGTGATCTCTGCCTGCAAGGACAGCATCACACGGTCTCAGCCCTCAGTTGTTGGTCTCTCTGCCCTCAGGTTACAACTGCTGCTCACGGGAACCTGAAAGCTGATGCAGCACATTATAAAGCTCTGACGGTTCTCAAGTGAGAGGAATCTGCAAGTTCTCTGTGAGGTTGGCACACGCAATTGAAGAGAAGAACGCTATTGATCTTCGGTGTGCCTGGGAGGACAATCCACATCTACTCCTCACAGTCCTACACCCATGCATTCTGATAACCTTGCAAAAAAACTAAACCCCACCCTTCTGCTCAGTCACACTGAAGGAGGAAGGAGGGAACACACAGAGATGCAGAAAGGGGGGAAAAAAAGAGAAATAGAAGAGGGAACATTATGAAGGGAAGATTACAGGTGAGGTCAGAGGAAGGAGGAAGAAAAGGGGAAGGAAGAATGGAGGAGGGGAGAGACAGAGGGAGGAAGAACAGAAAGAGAAGGAAAAGAGGAGGAGAAATAGCTTGCTACTCAATGTTCAAATAAAAAAAGAATTCATATGAACCAGAACCAAATCAGACAACAACAATGGTAATGGCAGTGAATACAATCAAAGTATATTATGTACATAAGAGGAAATTACATAATAAACCCAGTTACTAGGTACAATCAATTAGCACATGCTAAATAAAGCATGAAAAGTCGTTTCCCAGTGATGCAGACATTAGACAAGTTACACAGGTCATAAAGAGAGAACTGACCTAGTGAGAGTCCAGGCTTCTTCTCCTCTCAGCTCCTCAACTCCAGTCCAGATGAGTGTGGAAGCCACTTTAATAAGGTGATGGTTCTTACCAAGGGGGTGGGACCAACAAAGAACAGCCACTCCCATGGACTCCCACAGAGTTCAAGAATCCAGAGTTTCATGATAGACTAGAAACGTGACAAATCAGAGGAGGGACCTATGAGGCTCCACCCCTCCCTGGAGATCTGGAGTCCTCTAATGTGTTTCCTACAGTCCTGTAAATAGCCCCCAGACATACTCCTATAAACAACTCTATAGTATTCATCATCACTATAGGTCTCTTACACACACACACACACACACACACAGAGAGAGAGAGAGAGGGGGGGGGAGGAAGGAAGAAGAAGGAAAAACTGCATGAGAACCTTTTTTTTTGTTTGTTTTTGTTTTTTTGTTTTTGTATTTTTTGTATTTTTCCATAGGAACCTTAAGTACTATGACCTTCCTTAACTGACTAACCCCACACAATGCTCAGCTATAGCTGTTATTATAATAAGAAAATGTGGCTTTAAACTACCGACTTTGGGGGATAGATTGTTCAGCAGCCATAAATTACAGAATTACTACATTGTCTCAAATCTAAGAGTAAGTTGAAATACAGCTCACACTGTCCACTGGTTACTGTATCTAATGAAGCATGCTAATGTCCTATAACACCATGATATCCGTCTTAACCTTTGTCCTGTTTTAATCAGGAGCTCAAGGGCAGAAAGGAATTTCACAATTCACACTTAGCTTTATCTGGATGGCCATGTCCCACCATGCTCTGGGTCTATGTGCATCTGTGCATCCCTTCAGTTTTGCTGTGGAAGAGTGGCCTTGTCACCCTTGGCAATGCCATTTCCAAGCTAGTGAGAATTACTGCTATGTTGTGCCAACTTCAGACCCACAGCTCTTATCCACAAACAAGGACATCTGCCACTGATTTACTCACAGACCCACGTGTTCACTTGTGATTTTGTTATAATTACTGCCTCATGGTTCCGGGTTATTAATCATTACCTGATGATCAAGTTGTATTCAGAGGTGCGTGGCACTTGCCTGAGTCTGCATACCCTACCAGTGTCCAGGGCTGGCCTCTTTTTATCTTGGTATACACTGCTAATCTCTCTTCAGCTACAGAATGTCCCTCCTCAAGGTCCACTCCACTTTTCTAGAAACAGGTGACAAAGTGGCCGTGCTGTATATCAGCATCATGCACAAGTGCAGCAGCACAGGGTCTCAAGTCCATGCATCAGTCTCAGTGACAGGGTGAGTTGTGTTTGAACACAGCTCAGGAAAGAGTCCGTGTCACAGGCTGCAAGCTCCTGGCAGAGGATGACTGCCCCACTGGCTGGCCAAGTGTGCTTCACAGAGAGAAGCCTCAACTTCCCTTTAGTGTTGGAGATGTGTCACCGGGTGCAGGTGTAGACAGGACATTCTGGTGGCCCATCATGTACCCACTTCCAAACTAACAAATGTAAAAGGTCTATGATGCAAATCCTGTAGTTTATCTT